GAGATTTAAAATAGAATTTATTTTTAAAATTAAAATGATCAAATTCATAAATTTTCATGAAATTATATCGAAATTAATTCTGATGGAAAATTTAAATTAAGAAAAATACATTTTAAATATCGTATACGTCTATATGATTAAATTTTACAATCAAATCTAACATCCCATGTAAGAAAAAAAGATATGCAAAAGTTCATTATTAAATACGAAAGTTTGCTTGAAATAGTTGATTAAGTAGTAATAGACATTGTTTGTGTAAAGCATTACTTTTCTACTAAAATTAGCTTTAACAGTAGCATAGTACTACATACTCAAATTCTTTATACGAAAAAGTAAAAGAGCTGAAGAAAGTATTAGGAGTTCCGTTTTTTTATATGATACTACCATAAAACTTAGGTACTAGTAATAAACAAATAATATCTAAAGCATAACAATACAATTTTATTTGCATCTGGTAATTAATTTTTTTTTTGTTTGTTTCAGCTAGTATCGATAGTAAATATGATGTTGCTATTTCAACAGCTGTTGGTGGTTATCTTGATTATTATGTTGTTGATGATGTTAAAAGTGGTGAATCTGCAAAAAATCTTCTTAAAGAACATAAACAAGGTACAGGTAGTTTTATCTGTATGGATAAAATGCTTCGACATTCTCAACAAGCCAATCGTCGTTTTGATGTACCACAATTAGCACCAAATACATATCGTTTATTTGATTTAATTGATATTAATGATTCGATTTATAAAAATACATTTTATTATGTTCTTCGTGATACACTTGTTGTTGATAATATTGATGATGCACAAAAAGTTGCATTTGGTAGTCAAACACGTTATCGTGTTGTTACACTTGAAGGTGAAACTATTGAACAATCAGGTACAATGTCTGGTGGTGGTTCATTTCAAGCTCGTGGAAAAATGATTTTAAAAACAGCTGACAATCGAACATCACGACAAAGTATTCATATTGATCCAGCAAAAAAAAATCAATTAGAAAAAAGTGTGAAAGAGGTTAGATTAATTATATATAGATATACTTTTTTTTTTTGTTTAATGAGAGATGGTTCCTAAGTGTGACTCGTCAATCGAACTGATGTTCTGTTCATAACTACGTCCCGATGAGACTAGTAGAAATCTATAGCAATTCATCCGCATGTACTGTCCTTTCATAGTTATTATAATGGTACTGAATTTCTCATCTCTGACCAGCTATTGGTGAAAGAATCGAATTATAAAATTGAATTTCTAAAAACAATCATGTGCTATCAGGATCGATGCTTAAAGAAGAACACATCCCTTTAGGCTGAAATTTCCAGAGCATTTTAAGATCCACGAAATCTACCTATGGGCAAAATTTCACATTGAAAGTTCATAATCCAATTGTTTCACCAATACCGTGATACAGATAGAGTCCATCGGGTCCAAAATTCGAGTTCGAGTTCTAGTCAGAGATGTAATGAGCAAAATATCAGTTCGATTGTTGAGTCACACTTGAGAAATATCCCTTGTAAATAAAAATCTTTGTTTTAGGATGGTGAAAAATTAACTGAACTTGAACAACAACGTTTTCAATTGACTACACAAGAAAAACAATTAAAGCAAAAATTAGCTGATGAAAAACGAATTCATACACAAATTAAAAATGACCTTAAAGTAAAAAGTTTTTTTTTCTATGAATTTTTAAATGAATAATTATATATTTATTCTATAGAATTTACCAAATCATGTTGAAACACTAAAAGCATCAGTTGAAAAACAACAAAAACTTGTTGAATCTAAAACAGTTTCAACAAAAGATCGAGAAAAATATGATGAAGAATTAAAACAAACTAAACAAGGTATTTATATCTTAACAATTTCTTTTAATTTAATTTATGTTCTTATATTTAGAATATGATGCGGCTAATGATGAACTTGAAGAATTAAAAGCTGCAATTGATGTGTAAGTTTCATTTGTTTTTCTTTTTATGAATTCATTTTTGTTTTCTCAGTGTAACTAAGCGTATTAATGATCATAATAAACTTGCTCTTGCTCAACCACAAACTGATCTTGATAATGCAATAAAACAAGTCAAAAAATTACAAAATATAATCGATACAGCTAATGTTGAAATAACCAATGCTCGTCGGTAAATTAAAAATAATATTTTTTCGAAGAAAATTTTTTTACATTATATTCTTTAATTTATTTTAGTAATCTTAAAAAAAGTCAAGATAAAATCAAAGCTAATCAAACAGCTATTGATCAAATATTGAAAAAACGTGGTGATCTTAATACACGATTAGAAAAACTTGAAGAATTAGCAAACAATGCTGATCAAAAGAAAACACAAATTGAAGTAAGTTTAAATAATATTCGATAAAAAGAAAATCAAACTATGTATATCAAATTTTATTTTTAGAATGATTTAGAAACAAATAAAATAAATATGGCAGAATTACGTGAAACAATACGAATTACAGAAGCTGAATTAGCTGATATTGAAAAAGAAATTGTTCATTTAAAACATGAATATGAAGCAGCACAAAAAGAATTAGCTCAATGTCGACATGAAATTAGTGTGATAGATGTCGAGGTATATTGCTTAAACGAGAGAATAAATGTCAGATATTTGAAATCTGTTTTTATAAAAGATCATGAAATTAGAATTTTTGGTAGTTCAAAAAAGCAACTAGAATCTTATGTAAAGCATTAGATCGATGGAACATTTCTAAATAATTCTCTTTCTGTTTGCCTCCATATTTTGCCGATATGTAGGAAATTACTAGAGTAGCGTAACCTTTAAAGATTTTTTGCTCTTGTTTAGATTTGATCGAAATAACAACTTTGTAGCAAATTCATCCTGTAGGAATCCAGTTTTCGAAAAAAAATATATTTGAGAATTTCGATTTGAAACTTTACACACATGACGGTCTCGATTAGACTATCTCATATAGAAAGTTTCATCAATTTTGAATATCGTATTCCTAAGATATGGATCTCTTAATATATTCCTAGAGTCAAGATATCCAAAACTGATGAAAATTTGTATATGAGATAGTCTAATCAGAACCTTTATGTATGCAAAGTTTCAGATCTAAAATTTCAAAAATATTTTTGTCAAAAACTAGTCTCCTGCTGGATAGATCTACTAATAAGCCGCTATCTAGGCTAAATCTCAGTACGAGCAGAAAATCTTTAGAGATTATGCTACTCTAATGCTCTTCTATATATTAGCAAAATATGGCAAGAAATGAAGCGAATTACTTGAGAGTATTCCCCTCAGAAAATAAAATTATATTTACATATGTATTGATCAATTTTACGATATCCTAATCATTAATTTGAAAAATCCATAAACTATGATCATGCTTAAAAATAAGGATGATTCAAAGCTGGGCAAGTCTGACTTTTTATTGAAGACGGTAGTATTTCACAAAATTTTCAAGTTAAAGAAAAAACTGTACTCGAAAATTTGTAAGCATTTTCTGGTTTTGAACTCTATTCAAAGTCGACATGTAGTGAATTCGAATTCTAGTTCAAGTTTGAATATTTTCGAACATCGTTAACTTTTTTTAACTGTGACAACCTTTCTTTTATCGATGCATGTCTAATTCAAAGTATTCTGATAAAACTAAACTGAAATTGTTTTGTTTTGTTTTTTAATTAGATTAATGGATTACGTTTATCTCATGTTATTGATGATGAAGAAGATATATCTGATGAGGCTGCATCAACGAACTATCTTAAAGAAGTTCCAATTCAAAAATATGATCGTACTGATCTTGATGTTTATACAATGAAAGATTTAGTTGCAGCAACATTAGAACGTGAAAATGAATTAAAACAAACACATTGTAATTTAACTGCTATTGGTGAACATCGTCGTGCTGTGAGATTTTGTTTTTGTTTTTGTTTTGCTTAATTGAAATTTTTTATTTTAAGGTTCGTAATTTAAATATGAGACAAAAAGATCTTGTTGAACTTGAAACACGTCGTGATCATATACGAGCAAAACGTGATCGTTTTAATGAACAACGACAAACAGAATTTCGAGCTGGTTTTGATCAAATATCACGTACACTTAAACATATTTATCGAACTATAACAGATGGTGGAGATGCTGAATTAGAATTTTGTTCGAGTAATGATCCATTTGTTGATGGTGTAGAATTAAGGTAAATTAATCTTTTGTTAATTTTTAATTTATAATTGTATCCTATTATGATAGTATTCGACCACCAAAAAAATCTTGGAAACGTATATGTAATTTATCCGGTGGTGAAAAAACATTAAGTTCATTAGCATTTGTTTTTGCTTTACATACATTTCGTCCAACACCAATTTATGTTATGGATGAAATTGATGCTGCACTTGATTTTAAAAATGTTTCAATTGTTGGTCGATTTATTAAAGAACGTACAAAAAATGTAAGTTGTACAAAACAAAAAAAAAGATAAATTTAATAGATATATTTTTTTTTTGTAGGCACAATTTATTGTTATTTCACTACGTGAAAATATGTTTACACTTGCTGATTATCTTATCGGTATTTATAAAGTAAATAATTGCTCACAAACAGCATCACTTCGTCCAGCTCTTTTTGCTAAAAAATTAGAAGAACGAAAAAAATCACATCTCATGTAAGTTAAAAACTAAAAAATAAGTTTAATTAAAACTTTTTTTTTTTTATTTGTTGATTTTAGTTGTTCACAAGAACAAACTAATCCTAGTCATAATCAAGATGAAAACGATGTTACAATGACTGAACATAGTGATCAAGCAAATACTTATGATACTCATAGTACAAGTATTCATCAAAATCAAACTACTATGTCAGATAATAATGGATTCTAAACAAAATATACATATATATATATTTTTTGTTTTTCTTATATGCTATTGTATATAATGTATTGTATTTTTGTCTTTCATTTCATTTATGTAGAAAGAGAAAAATAAATAAAATATATCATCGATGAGTCATTATTGTTCTAGATGATTAAGTGAGTCATCGAAACATGGCAGTTAATAATAGTGTACAATCAGGCGATTTTGACATGGTAGATTTGTCAGAAGAAGATAAAGTTGCAGCACAGAAATATCTTAGTGAAAATGGAATACGTGGTATTGAAGGTTTTCTTGCTGAACGATTGGATGCATGGCGAAAATGGTTTGTTTTATTTTTCTTATGAATTTTTTATTGTTCATCGAAAGATTTGAATTGTTTCAGTCCATTGAATATTGCAATTACTGGCGATTCAGGATCAGTAAGTATCTTCTTGATATTTTCTTTAAATATAAATGATAGATTATGATTAGAGATAAAAAAAAATTAATGAGTATCTTTTTATTCAATAGGGCAAATCAACTCTCATCAATACACTACGCAATCTTCGAGCAGGTATCTATTGAATATTTTTATGCATAAATATTCCGTCATGAATTCATGTATTTTGTATGACAAATGAGCTCAGTTCGTAGATATAAAACTATCGTCAAAAGTTTATCGTTCTCAAAATTATTCAGAATATCAATCATTGTTTTTTCATAAGATGACAATGGTTTTTGACTGAATATATTTTCTTTACTAGTTAAATTTTTTTTGAAGCACAAGGATGACGTCTCTCACAATTCTTATAAAAACTAAAATGTTTAAATTAGCATTAATTTTAAAAGTTAATGATCGAAAAATTTTTTGGCAATGTCGAAATAGTAATACTTTAACTTATTATCATCTTATGAGAAATAGCTATTCTCAAATAATTTTATCTATTGATATAATTAACTATTACTATGAAATTCTAGAGGATGAAGGTTCAGCTAGAGTCGGAGTAGTTGAAACAACACGAATTGTTCAATCATATTCTCATCCAAGTTATCCTAATCTTGTCTTCTATGATTTACCAGGTTTGTTCTTTAAATTATTTTATCTTCTTCTTTTTTTATTTATTTCATTATTATTTTAAGGTGTTGGTACATTAGAATTTAAAAAATTAAACTATTTGGCTCAAGTAAATCTAACTCGATATGATTTCTGTATGTATATCTTTTTAAATTTAATCATTGAATTAAACATATATTGTTTTTTTACTTGTTTTAGTTTTAATTGTTTCACGTACACGTTTTACTGAAAATGATTTATGGCTTGCAACTGAAATAAAAAAAATTGGTAAAAAATTTTTTTTTATACGAACAAATATTGATCAAGATTTATATAACGAAAAAATTGATCATCCAAAACATTATAATGAAACATTAATACTTGATAGAATACGTGAAAATTGTCTTGCACATATTCGAACAGTTGATGATACTGCAAATGTTTTTTTAATTAGTGGTCGAATTACTTATACATCTCGGTAAAAATATATTTTGAAATTTTGTTTTGATTAATATATAAAATAATTAAAAAATTTTTATAGATTTGATTTTCCTAATATGTGTACAGCTCTTCTACGAGATTATCCAGGTTTAAAACGTCACGCAATGATTTTAGCTATGTCAACTAATTGTAAAGAAGTTATTACAGCTAAAGTTGATATACTTCGTAGTCAAACATGGGTAGCAGCAGCTGTTAGTGCTGCTGTTGCAACTCCACCAATACCTGGTTTAAGTGTTATGTTTGATTTTTCATTAACTGTTGGTATGGTTATATTTTATAAAAAACAATTAGGTTTAGATGATGAATCTTTAACACGTATTGCTCAAATTCATCATATACCATTATATGTTTTACAAGATGAATTACAAAAAATTTTACCAGCACATTTTTTTACAGCTGTACCAGATTTTGTTATATCATTAGTTAAAAAACAAGCAGTTGGTACTGCAACTGAAGAAGTTCTTCGATATGTACCTTATGTTGGTTCAATTATTTGTGCGACTGTTTCATTTTCAATAATCTTATCTGTATTAAGAAATTTATTAAATGTTATGGAAAAAGCAGCATTGACATTAATTGATATTGTTGCTGAAAGAAGTGTTAGTGATGATGAAGATGATGATGAACCTATATAATAAAAAGTCTTCTTTTTTCTTTTTTTCTTTTTTAATGTAATTTAAATACTGGACAAAATTTTTTTTTCTCTATTCATGCAACAGGTATGCTCTACAGTAAATATGTAGTAACATGAAACATAGTGTTTTCCATTATGAAAAAGTATTCCAACGTCTGATATTATATAATATTAGAAGATGGAATATTTATTTACAGTGGAAAACCTCAACTTTAATATTATCATATCATAGAATGAAACACAGTAGATATGCCTGTTAAATGAATATCATTTTTTCTTTTTAAGATTAAAGATGAATTTCTCCGATTTTGAACAATATTTTTATCGTGAACCAGTTGTTGAATCGATTACAACAGGCGGACATTTCCAATTACTTGATATAACTGATGATGAGAAGAAACAAGCGGAACAATTTATTCATGTTAGTTTAATTTGATCTGTGTTTTTTTTTGATGTTCTGTATTTTACGATAATATATTTAGAGACATGGTGTTCATGGTTTAGATAATTATCTTTTACAACGATTGGATGTATGGAAACAACATCCATTAGATATTGCCATTGTTGGTTCAAGGTAAGAAGATAAACAAATATTGATTTATAGAATTTTCATAGATAAATATTTTAGTGGTGTTGGTAAATCAACATTTATTAATTGTCTTCGTGGTTTAGAAGCTGAAGATGAAGGTTCTGCAAGTGTAGGTGTTGTAGAAACAACTAATCAACCAATTCCATATGAACATCCAGATTTTCCAAATTTGAAAATATGGGACTTACCTGGTAATTAAAAAATTTATTTTTTCTATAATTTTTTTCACAAAGAACAATATTGATTATAGGTGTTGGAACACCAAATTATCCTCAGTCATGTTATTTAGAAAAAATTCAATTTGAACGTTATGATTTTTTTTTAATTCTTTGTCGAACACGTTTTACTGGTAATTATTATTTTTTAAAAAGAATTAAGTATTATATTCTTGTAAAATCTAGAAAATGATCTATGGCTTGCATCTGAAGTTAAAAAAAATAATAAACGATTTATATTTATTCGTACAAATATTGATTCTGATTTATATAATGAATATGAAGATCATCCAAGTACATATGATGAAAATGAAATATTACAACGTATTCGTAATAATTGTCTTGAATATATTCATACTGTTGATTCTAATGCTGAAGTATTTCTTATATCTGGTCATTTAAAAAATCGTTTACGTTTTGATTTTGGAAAATTAAATGAAACATTATTACGTGATTATCCATCATTAAAACGTGAATCAATGATTTTATCAATGTCAGTTATGTGTAAAGAAGTTTTATTAGCAAAAGTTGCTGCACTTTATCGTCGTATATGGATTGTTGCATCAGCATCAGCAGCTGTTGCTGCTATACCTGTACCATTTCTTTCACTTGGTTTTGATGCAACATTAGTTATGAGTGAAGCTGAATTTTATAAAAAACAACTTGGATTAGATCAAGCTGCTTTACAAAAATTATCAAATGTTTATCAAATACCAATGCAAAAAATCGAAAAAGAATTAAATGAAATATTTCCAATACAATATTTAAATTCTTTAAGATCATTTGTTTTAGATTTTGCAAAAAAACAAGCCATAGGAGCAACAACAGAAGAATTTGCTCGATTTGTACCATATGTTGGAACAGCAATTGCATCAACATTATCATTTGGAGTTTGTTATATGGTTTTATATAAAATTTTAATACGTATGGAACAAGCATCATTGAAAATTATTGATATTGTTATTGATGCATCGAATCGAATGATTCAAGAACAACAACAAAGACAACAATTAATCTAATACTTTTCTTATTTTGTAAATACTTGTTTGTTTTTTTTTTGTTGACGATTGGATTTTATTTTGTGATTCTTCTTCCATTTATTTATTTTTTGAATCATGAATGTTCTATTTTTATTTTTGAATTTTAGATCTTTAATGTCTGTTATTAAATATCGTCCGCCCAATGCACCATATCACATAGCGATACTCGGTCGTTCAGGTGTCGGTAAAAGTTCACTATGCAATTTAATTCGGAATCTAACTTCTGAACATACCAATTTTGCTCCTGTTGGTGTTATTGAAACAACAGGAATACCTACATGCTATAAACTAATTGATAATGTTTTCATGTGGGATGTACCCGGTGTTGCAACTCCATCCGTATCTAAAGAAGATTATTGTAAATTAATTGATATAAATCGTTATGATATGTTTCTTATATTATCTCGTGGTCGTTTTACTGAAATTGATCGATGGTTAAGTGATATTGTTCGAGATCGTTTTAATAAAACACTTTTTTTTATTCGTACTGGTATTGATGAAGAACTACGTAATCATCGTCGTGATTATCCAACTAATTTTAATTCAATTGAAGTACTCGATATAATTCGTAATAATTGTCTAAAAAATCTCGAAACAAGTCTTTCAAAAACAAATCTATCACTTTATCTTATTAATACAAAAGATAAAACTAAATTTGATTTTTCAAAATTGATTAATGATATCATGGTGCATGTCAATCATGAACGAGATAATCTCATGTTAACATTAATTAAAGAAGATCCTACAGAACAGATAATTCAATCATCGATATCTTCTACTAATACAACATTACAAACTGCAAAAACAATAGTAACTACATGGGCACGATTTGGTTTAGTTTCATATTTATATGATCGATATTATAAATAAAAAATATTTTTGTTTTGTCTTTTTTCATTTATTTAAATGAACAATCACAGATTAAGTTTCTATAAACCAGTAGTTTTACGCACGTCACTTCGACTTTTCATTAATTTTAAAAGTTCGACTAAAAAAGAAAAAAGAATAACATAATATTAATAATGAGTTTCATAAATAAACTTTCTACCAGGAATAGGAAAAACAATTGTAGAATTTTTTTCTGCTGATATATGTGTCAACGTTTGAAGATATCGTAATTGTAATGCTACTGGATTTTCACTAATCACATCACCCGCTTCCTATAAAAAAAATTTTTTTTGTAAATATATTTTTATAACTTCTTTTTTTTTGTTTTTGAGTAATAAAATTTTTACTTTTAAAGATCTTGAAGCTTTTTGTTCACCTTCAGCTGCAATTATTTTAGCCCGAGCTTCTCGAGCAGCTAGAAAATAATATTCAATTAGATTAGAACAAAAATACCAAAAAAAAAAGAAGGAAAATCTAAATTCTAACCTTCAGCTTCTGCAGCCATACTACGTTGCATACTAACAGGGAGACGAACATCTTTACTAAAATAGTAATTCAAATGTAAAAAAAAAAAAAAAGAATATTTTTGTTTAGAATTACTAACATTTCTACACGTTCAACTTTCACACCCCATGGATCTGTTCCTTCATCAAGATGAACTTGCATTAAACGTGAAATATTTTCTCTCTCACATAAAATTTCTTGTAATGTTTTTGTACCTCTATAAATATCACATAAATCAAAATTTCATTAGATTTTGAAATTAATCAACTTACAAAATATTACGAAGTGTTGTTGCAGCAAGTAATTGTGTAGAGTATCGTGCATTTTCAACATTAGTTACACTTATTATTGGATTAAATATTCGAAAATAAACAACAGCATCAACTGATACAGTCTATTAAAAAAAAGAAAAGAAAAACGAAATCATTTTTTAATATTTGATTATTATTCACATACTACAGAATCTCTTGTAAGAATTTCTTGAGGAGGAACATCAAAAGTTACTAAAATATAAAAATTAATTTATAATTGTTTTCTTAATTAACTAAATTATTCAAATTTTTGGATTTTGCTAATACATACTTGTTCGTAAATCAACTTTGATTATTGAATCAACACAAGGTAAAACAAAAAATAAACCCGGACCTTTGGCGCCACCTTGACAAGAAGGAAAAAGAAACAAAAAAGTAATTAATATTAAATTAATTTTCTTCTCTTTCTTTATCTGACCCGACAGAATTCGACCAAGACGCATAATAACTGCTCTTTCATATTCTTGTACAACCTATAATGTTATCATTTTCAATAACATTTTCTCCTTTAATATATATGTATACATATATATATATTGTTGTCCTTACTTTGACTGTAACACAAAGTGAAAAAGGAAATGTTAAAAGACATATTATATGAGATAATACGACAAGAATCCAACCACATGTACCAAGACCTTCATGTGCATTGCGTATATCGTCTAATAGAAAAATAAATAACTACAGAATATTTTTTCCAAAAAAACAAATAGATAAAGTTAATTAATAAAGCAATTTAGTAGTAGTAATAAAAATTATTTAATTACACGAATAATTTCTAGTAACATTCGATGCATTCACTGATCGATTATAATAGATAAAGAGAATTAAAGAAAAACAAAAAAACAAAATTTTGTAAAACTTACATTCTGAACCAAACATAGTGGTAACACGTTCCTGTTGTTTGGATGTCATAGATAGAACCTGTTCAGTCGAACCGATTCTATTGAAACGCTAGAATACAACAAAAAAAAAAGGAACAACAAGATTTCCTTTCTCTCTCTGAATTATCAATCATGATTTCTTACAAAATCCTGTTCTGCCGTATCGCATCGATCAGAAAGAAGTGCCTCAGTTTCATGCATTATTTTTATTAGACTGAATACCTCTATCAAGTTTTCTTTTCTTAATTGCACATCACATATCAATGCTCTTATTCATAGAGTGAAAAAGATTAAAAAAATGTTTCTTATGTAAAAAAAACGACAGAGACGAATGACTAGTTTGTTTTTTTTCTTTTTATTAAATGATTCACAAAAAATAAGCAAATGTTTTTCTTCTTACTCATCATCAACGAATCTAGCGTTGCTAAAACCTAGAACAATGTGGACCGTTCGCGTCGACAAGTAGTAGGCGAAGAAGAAAAAAAGACAAGAATCTATTACTAGGGAATCGTTTGTCGATAGCATGCCGCCTAATGGTTGATGTCTGAATGTAGATTAAATTAGAAAAAAAAGACATGCTAAGTCGACATTATTTATTATTATAGATGGTGATAGGAAGACAAGAAAGCAAATTAATATAAAGATTTATCATGATCTTATATTTTATTATATATTATATCTAAAAAAGAAAAGAAAATCATCTGACAAGTAGAATTCAACATTTTTATATTTGATTTGTTAATTACATGATAATATAGACATTGATAATGGTTTAATCAGGTTACTTACCTCTTTCATTAAAAAATCTTTTCAATTATTCTCCAAACAAAAACCTGTAGTGAGCCGATAAAAAGAGAGAAAAACGGAAACAAGAAATAAACTCGTTTATTTAATACTTTAAAAACTAAAATACTTCAAATTGTTATTGTCAGTCTTTCTATCAGACGCCTACACACAACAAATACTTGACTTGATCGAACTCATTCGCATACATTATTACTTGCGTCAAACATTTTTGTTCCGCTAATAACAAAAGAATTCTTCTTTACTATTTCTAATAGCGGTAGACTTCAATGAAATGATAATTGTTCTTCTTTTTTTCCCTTCACTCTATATTTATAGATTATGCAAACGATTTCGGTTGAGTAAGTAGAAAAAAAAATGCCTATTTTTTATTCAAGCATTTCGATTAAGATCCACTTACTCAATGGGCACCAATGTTGTTCTACTAGATAAAAATGATTTGCTCGTAGCAAAAGATTATCTTTATTTGTCTATCTGTCAAACCATAAAAAACCTTGTAAAGATGTTTTGTAGAGTTTTATGCATATATCTATATATACACAAAACAATATATGTGCAAGTAAACAAGGTTTTATTATATATTTCTAATAAAAAATGGTGCTGGTATATGAAAAATAAAGCGTGCATGTTATTTCATCTCGTAAGGGAAAAAAGAAATGAAATAGAAATAGATAGAAAGAGAAGAAAGAGGAAAAATAGCAGAACATAATTTGTCTTTCTTTTCTAGCGAAGCAATCAAAAATATTCTTGTGTTCTGTCGATTTATTGGTTAGTACTATGGGTATCAAGTAATGTGCCAGTCTCCACAATAATAGACAGACGAATCTCATAAAGAGCTACTTGAACACGACGCCTTCACATTACATCGCATGAGTATCGAACAAGAAAAGAGCAAGAAATCGCTGTTGGTGGTTGCTTTCATAGCGATTGTCGATCGAACTAAACTATGCGCTCTTTATTATTTTATCGAATGGTATTGTATGCACACACGCTGATATGTTAGAAGCTACTGGGTAGAAATAAATTCATAGAATAATTAAATTGATATTCTAATAGAAAGATAAGTAATAAATAGTAGAACATATGAACACATATGTAACATTAGATATCAATCTTAAAAAGCTGATTTGTATCCTAGTTTAATCTCGACAGATGATCAAATATTTGGTTTATGAGATTCTTATATTTAACAATCAACATAGAATAGTAAATACAATGAATAAAAAAAAAATCATGAATTATGATAAACTGTCACGCTTATGTGTTAATGTTCTTGATGCTTCTTTTTCGAGTTTACGTTGTTGATGTTCACGTAATTTTCTTTCACGTTCAATACGACGAGTTTCTATATATTAAATCAATAAATGAATATAAAATTTCATTTAAAATATTATTTCGTTTTTTTTTGTTCATACCTCGCATAGCTTCATTTGCTTCGTTTGAAAGTTCATTAAAATCATCATTATCGTTCCAAGTACCACCATAATTTGTAGTCGATGAATTTACATCACTTTCTTGCCATTCATTGAGACCAGGTTGCTTTAAAAAAAAAAATGATTCATATAATCATATGAATTGAAATTTATTTAACTTACAAAATTAACTAATTCGTCATTCATCATTTGTAAACGATTATGACGTTGATCATCTAGATTTAATTGATTATCATTATCATTTATACGTTTTTTTAATATAATCTAAATATTAATTTGTCAAAAGTTATCTTCAAGGCTTAATATGTTTTTTTTTATGTATTATTACTTTAGGTGTTTTTTTAACTGTTGCTGCAATATCACTAAAATAATCCATTTTTTCATCATTTTTATCAGCTGTTTGTGAATTATTTAAATGCTGGTTCTGTCGAAATATATCTTCAGCACCCCAAGAATTCCATTCTGGTTGTGGTATCTAAATAAATAAATAAATAAATAAATAATTGAATAAAATTATTAGATAATTTACTTTTGGAACTGAAGCAAATGATTGATAAGGACGATTTGAATCATTTTCCATTTCACCAATAATTCGAATATGTTCAAGTGTTACTGGTTCAGTTTTAGATAAAGTTGTTCCAAGTTCTTCATGACGTCTTCCAACAATAATTTGAAATATTTTACGAAAACCTCGACCAATTGAACAAATAATATGGAATAAAAATTTTATTATAATCAACATAGAAATATAATTATATCACGAGTTAAAAAATAATTGCATTTATTAATCTAAATAAACATTCGATATTCGAACAATCAAAAGCCGAAACCTTCTCGCGTTAATGATTCTCGGATATATTATAGAAAAGAAAATAAGACTAGCGTCATCTATTTTTCTTTAAAATCTAATCAATTTAATACTATAGAAAATTTACTAATCGAAATCTTTTTGAAAATAATTTTATAATAATAAATTATGTTTATTTTTATTTGTGAAATGAAAAACTATTAGGTATATTGCTGACATAAGAGAACTCCAATAAAATCTTTGTCGGTAGTTACCGTACTCTATAGAGAATCTCATAAGAAAAGAAAGATTTTGCGGTTAATAAGAATACAAAGAGTATCATTATTAATGTTTGAGGTCATGATAGATTCTAATTTCTGCACATCATAATGTAATCAATCAGATAAGTTAAAGAATACTGTTGTAACGGTACCAATAAAATATCAATGATATTATAGCTATAATTCATTTTTACACATTCTTTTGAAGGAGTACAACGTCTTGTTTTACGCTGACTCATGCGGGAAATTTTATTTTATTATGAAAAGTATAAAGAAATGAAGTGTATATACTTGTCGTTTGAGTTCGATTGTGTCACATCATTCATCTCTTATGACTGCAAATATTAGCAGTGATGGCTCGAGGGGATGCTACATCCGTTCAATTGTAGAAAATTTTTTAAATTTTTTTCTAGCAACGCTGAAACTCTCTTTTTTGCATTCTGTTCGAAGAAAGATATTCTTCCTTTGCAAAAAATTGTGACATTTTCCTAATGTTGACTGCTTCAGGCCATCATTGATGATTCTTATATGCTTCATTGAATAAATTGAATATTAGCATGGTTGACTCGAACTATAAAGTAGTTGTTTTCATTTCTCTTTCGATTCTAAAATATAGGATTTTGACTAAAGCATTGGCTAGCTTACAATTATGTAATCGAAAAGAAAAAGAATAAAATTGTTAACCAAATGAAGGGACTCATGTAGGAGTGGCTCTTGTCTTCGTCCACACTCTTCCTAATTTAACCCATTCTCAAAGATATATACTTCATTTCTATATTCATTTTATATTAAAATCAATTTTCTACGCTTATTTCTCAAAGCATTGAATTAAATTTCCGTGAAATTTTTTTCGTAGTCATTTCAGTTGCATTTATTGGAAATAAGAACTTACGATCTCATGATTTTTCAAAAACTATTATTGCTATTATGTATAGATCTATACTATATGATTAATTTCTTCAAATTTTAGCATCTAATACATATATTTCAAGTTGATTATCATTAGTGCTGGAACTTTTGTTCATGAATACATCATGAACTAGAGCAAATAAATAGAAAAGATTATTAAAATTTGAATTTTAGGACATCTTTTTTTCATCTTTATGTACAAAAAAAAATCAAATATACATTCGGCTAACCAAGCAATATTATAGTTCTTCTTTTTTAAAAAAGTTTTCTTTTTTGTTAATTTACAGATTTTATTGAACGTCTAATGTCACTGAAATTCGTAGTTAAAACTAACGCGTATTGTTTGTACTTGCCGACAAAGATGACTGTTATTCTACGATAGGAGCGACATTTTTGCATGGTTTCTTGATAAGTTGATCTGTATCTTCGACTAGTATCTAAAGATCAGAATGTGGTGGCAAGCAAATGCCAAATGCAAATATAATAAGTAGACATTCAAAAATATAAAAATATATTTTATGTATAACAAGATAACTTCGAAAACCCATAGCAAATTCTATGATATGATAAAAGGAACGAATTATTAATAGAATCATACTAAGATACAATGCATAGAACATTGTTATCCCTCGTTTTTGTCCAGTAAAATCAGATTTACGTCGATGAATTGATCAATGTAAATGAAGTGTAACAACAGCAAAAATAGAAACAAAAACTAACTAAATTAATACTTAATCCTTCAATTAATATTCGACTACCGGCCATAATATTATTCAGACTTTCATTTGTTATTAAATCGGTACCTGCCGATTGAATTCTAATTGATAGTATGTCTGAAATAATGAATGCAAACTCGATAAATTTTGGATTCATTATTGAATGTTGACTACCAATCAATCGAATGAGACGGCCAACCAACAAATAGTCAGCTAAGACTAAACCGATCGAAGCCAAAACAATGCAACAGTACATGATGATATAGTTTAG